AGTTCAACTGTCCATGTCCCGAGTGGAAAAAATTCAAACTTCAAACCAGACAAATATACTGTGTATCTTGTGTTGGGAACAAGAACAACCATGTATATCACATGGATTTTTCATCAGTAACTTTAATTTTTATTTAATAATATTCAATATTGTCTTATTAGCATACTAAACATGCTACAAGAGTTTATTAATTATAAGCCCTCTTAGAGATGGCAAACGGGTCGAGCGGCTCGTCGGCTCGGCTGGTGAAAACACGAGCCACGAGCGGCTCGTGAAAAATTAAAGAAAAATTTAAAAAATATATGTGAAAAAAGTAAAAAATTCAAAAAGCTCGTGGGCTCGCGGCTCAGCTCGTGAGCTCGGCTAGGCCCATTGCCATGATTAAGCCCTCTTTTAATTCTCATTTTTATCAAAAATACATTTTTCTCTCTCTTCATTTCAACTATAAATTCTTCAATAAAATAATATTACATGAAAATTCAAAAAAGTTTCTTATTTTTTAACCGCACATTCTCAATCAATTAACTATTTCAAAATACATTTTTAACCTTTTAACGGGATTTAAACAAACTCTTAGCATCTCGGTATATTCAAAATATGACTCACAAATTTGAAAAAGTAAATCTTCAAGTTGACATAGTTGGAATTGGAAACGATGATTCTCTCTCTCTCTCTCTCTGGGGTGAAAAGATTTCAAGATTGTATTGATTTTGCGTTGAGTTGGAAGTTAATTGTGTGGATGTGCCGTCTCTTGTGATTTACTAGTTACGAGGAGATAAAAGTTTGTTTAAATAGTGCAAATAGAAGTACTAGGATTCATAGACTCTTATCTATTTTTATTGTTTATAAACTTTCACAAATTCCTTTTATGTAAATATAATAATAAATTGGAATAGTCTTTAGTGGGAGTCTTTTGCCTACAAAAGGTTACTCCAGTGTCTTTTTGATGTGGGGGAAAATCAAGAGGAAATTACATGTTTAAAATTAAATATTCAAAAATTACATCACCCATTTTTTTAGTACTCAAAAATTAAATCCGTGGCGCTGCAGTCCGAA